GTTCTGTGGTTCCGGCATTGCAGGCAGGAACAGTGCACTGCCAGAACATGCCCACCCATTTGGTGCCACCCAGTTTGGTTCCTGGCTGCAATGCCAGGATCAGAGAACACAGCAAAAACCAGCACAGTCCCATGGTTTCCATCTTGCTCCTGCTGTTGCCTCTACCGCAGTACACCTGAAGCTCCCGCACTCACAGTGGGGGAAGCCCTGTGGTGGAGCCCACTGCCTCCCCCACCCTGTGCTGCGCAGGTCCCCAGACTCCGCCTGGAGTGGAGGGTGCCCTAACCCCCACTTCCCTGCAGAGTCCAGCAGAGGCTCCCCCCATGGGAGTGCAGGAGCTGCAGGCATGTGGCGTGGAACCACCATGGCAGAGGCAGCCAGGCAGGCTCCACTCCTCACCCCCACGTGCAGCACTGCCCAAAGCCATGCCCCACTGGGCACCAGTGCCTGAGCCAAGCATAAGCTCCTAAAGCCCCCACAACCGCTGCTGCTACCGGCATCAGGGGCTGCATGCCATGTGGGGGAGTGTGGGGAGTCCCTGCACCCCACAAACCTCACATACCCACACCCTACCCCCACAGCCCCCACCAACATATACACACACCCCAACATACCCTCTGCCCCCACACATCCCACAGACCCCCCCACACAATATAAGTGAGACTGTTTTTCAGTTATTATGCAATACCTTCTATATATAGTACACAAACACAAATCATGACAAATATTTTTGTAATAAAATTAAAATATGTTACAGGAGGTGTTTGTCTTCTAGTGTATGATTTGTTTTTTTCTGGTGCAACGATCGCAATCCCCCTCCTAAAAAGAATATTTCTGGGGGGGCAAGGGGAGGGACTTTTGGTGGCAAAGGTCAGGAGTTAGGGGGCGGGACTTCTGGTCCAATATGGTGACTAGGGGGCGAGGCAACTGTCAAGGGGTGGGGCTACCTATGTGGGCCCCGACAGCTCACCCAAACTTGTTAAGTGGCCCTCCGCCCAAAATAATTGCTTGCTCCTGCCATAGAGGATACCCTTAGACAGTGGAACCCAGATTCTTCAGTTCCAGAATGCTACTCCTTACCAGTTTAGCCAAATGAATATCTGTTAGCAACAGAAGAACACTTGCATTCCTTGGAATTGACAAACCACCACAGAAATGTGGATTCCACCTCCTTTCCCCAACTGCAATGTTCAACTTTGCCCTTGTAGTAAATCTCGTTCTTTTCTGGATACATTTTCAAAGATAAAGCTATAGAATTTTACACTGAAAGCTGACTGCAAACTTAACTGTGGAGAAAATACTGCCTTATTATCATGCAAAAGTTTTATTGATCCCCTTCTATACCATCTACACTGATAGCTCACCGCCTCAGCTTGTGATCTTTTCCAAAATTGAAATGTTGAAAAAGCTTAACTCCTGACATTAATGTTCAGTTGGAGGCAGTGGTGGACCAAAGTTGTGTTACCAGGTGCCGGAAATACTTTACACTTACAGAAAAGTAGGGACAGATTTTGCTGGATTTTTGTGGATTAGTCTAATAAAAGAGCAGAGGCAACTGTAAATGAGTCATGTTAAAACAGATCAACTGCTAAGGAGAGGTGATGGAGCTAGAATTCACCAACTCTGAACTTCATATTTAAACTTCACAGAAGTGGCATTCCCAGGAATTAGTGGCAACTGTCTTTCATCCTTGACAATTTGTGATTTGAATCTAAAATTAAGGACATACAGGGCTTAATTCATTATTGGTATTTACTAACAGATTAGAAGAAAAGTTCACTCATTGTGTCTGCTTCACACTGTTATTCATTTCAGCTCATAGGGATATAGGGCTGGCCCCCAACAGCAATCCTGGGAAATCAGTGTGTTGGTTCCCTGGGAGGGGGGATGCTGGGGCTAAGAATAGCCCCTGGTTCCAGGGAGTAGGGACAGGGATTAGGTAAAAAAACCCCCCCCACCCCCCACCAGCCCATCTAGACCCCACAAGCCCCATTGATCCCAAATTCTCCAAGACCCCAGTAACCCTCCCACCACCACAGACCCTGCTTACCTCCCAGTCCCTACTTGCCTTAGCTGGGGCGCCACTTTTAACTCAGTCTATACTACCTGAATGTCTGCACGCAAGCTCAGATATAGAACACACTGGCCCACCCAATTCCTAGTGGCAAGGTCTATCCCACAGGTGGCCAGCTTCTTGAAAAGTCCTCTTGTGGGTGGAAATCTGAGCAGCCACAGAATTTGTCGTCTGCTTACTCCCAGTGTGTTCTCCACCACAATTTCCAAAAGACAAGGAAGGACTATCAGCTTGGGTTTGGAGCAGTGATGCATATTTTACAGACTCAGTGTTCCCACATATCCCACTGCATCATATAACCAGCATGAAGGTGCTGCACGTTCTGCTCCAGCTCACTGACTATAGTAGCGGCCATGAAAAAGGGTGAACTGAAGAGTAAATTTCATTCCCTCAACTTCTCTCCACTCCGTCCACAAACAACTGGAATATTCAGGGTTTATGCAAATAGGTTGGAAACGCACAGCACGGAAAGGTCTAACAATATCTTAACAAAAAGAACAAAGATAAATAATTTTAAAAGAAAATTGAATGTTACCATTTATATTGCTGAGCAGAGTAATGGTTTGCAATTCTTCTGCTAGCAGTCAGTTCATCAGTAAGTTAGATTTTAGAAAGGACTGAATGCAGTCAGCAGAAATTTAAACACAAAGCTGCCATTCAAAATGGAACAGGAGCCACTAGTTTCAAAGCAGAGACAATGTGAACTATTTAAAAGCTATGAACATTGCTGAAAGTTCCTGTATCCTCATTTGGAACAGAGGCAGATCCATAGCAGGTGTAAATTGTCACAATTGATATCAGCTGATGACATCAAGCAGAAAGCCTGAAATGAAGCAGGATTGTTTTCCTTCACCTTTATATTTTCCACAGACTCAGTTGTATGCTTTAGAATATCTGATATCATTTACAGGAACAAACAATAAGGGCAGGTCACCACATGCAGGGACATGCATGTGCCATGACACAAATAGCAGCGGCATATATTTGTGCCACTACTTTGTTCCCCAGGGCCCGCCCCTACATGCACACTCCAGTGCACACCAAATTGTCCTGGGTGTGCTAAGGGAGGCTGGGGCCAACACCTGTGCCAGCCCCAACTACCTTACCACCTGCCACCTGCCTAAAGGGCTCTCCTTCTTGACTTGAACAGACACAGGTCTTGAGGTTAAATGGTAAAGTGGACACAAGAAAGGCGTGCACTATGCTGGGGTTTTGGGGGGTTTTTTGGCAGCGTTTTTTTTTTTATACCAGGAGATCCCAATATCAAATTTTGGCACCTCACTGAAAATTAGCAGCATGGTAAACAGGTGCATGTTTGCTGCGTGTGGTTTACAGTGCTTTGAACAGCTCTGAGGTGCTGCAAACTGCACGTGCGTGCTCATCTGGATGTGCCCTAAGAGACCATTAGAACAGGATGGGATGGAACTGACTAAAAAGAAAAAGAAATTAAAAATTAACATCCTGATTATTGGATGAATGCAAATGGGAGAATGAGAAAGGAAAACAGTCTGGTAACAGGTATGTTATAAAAACCTAGATAGGCTAGAAGGAATATAGTGAAAGACCAAAGGAGAATGAAAAGCTAAACACCCCATGGTACTTAGAATAAAACATTTAATTTACAAAACATCTTGTCCAACATGTAGAAACAGAACAGAAAGATACTGGGTTCTTTTTAATGTTTACAAATGATGATTTAATGTTTTACAAATGATGTGCATATAGATAAATCATTTTCTAAGTCCTGTGAATTTTATTGAGCAGAATTCTATTAAGTGTGGAGTTGTGATTGGGACACATGAAATTAAGAACTTGAGATTCTCTTCTTCAGTCACATGTAGTCACTGTTTTGCATTGATATACATCATTATGTTAAGTGCAAAAGTAGTGAAGACTCAGACCCTAGAATTTTTTACATCTGCCATATTATGTGTTTTCTACTGCAATGTCCACTAACACTGCCTCCCTCTTGCAGGAGGCTGTAAAAGTGAAGAAAGAAAAGCACTGAAGGAAGTTCCAGAGCAAGTGTGATCCTGGCACTAGATTCAACTTGAGTGTTTATTGATAGAGCAAAACTGCTGCAGATGGTCCGATATGGGAACTTCAGCATGTCCAAATGACTGAGGCAAACTCTCCTTTGAGACTGCAGACTCCTCTACTCATCTTTACTTCTCAAAAGATAGATTTCAAATGGCCTTCCCCCTGTATTGACATACGATTAGTACTACTGCTGTAAGTGCATTTTATCTGCTGCCTATGCTTTGCTTCACTTCACTTCAATACTGCACAGTTCTTTTGAAGAACATTGATTTCATGGTCACAGGACATACTGTAATAATCACAGGACACTCTTTAATAGACTACAAGGTGACTATGGCATAAGATATTCTAAAGCACTTTACTGGAGTTATTTGCAGGAAGCACCAGTTGTTAATGACCCAAGACACAAATCTAGTCTACACTCTACATATTAATGATCCCTTATAAACCAGATAATTCATTTTAATTAGATTTGCAAGAATAGATATGCCAAGTCTTTACAATGAACCAGAAAGTTCTACTTCTCAGATAAACCAATCTGACATTTAATCATAACCTTTTCTACAGAAAACAAGCCACCTGAAAGTTTGAGGCACAGGTTGTGGGTGTCTGGTAGGGCTGTGCGAAGCTTCGGTTGCTGATTTGATTTGAAGGAGATTCAGCCACCAAATTGGGTCGAATCCTAATCGAATCAGGAGACCAATAAAAATGTCCAAATTGATTCAGAGAAAAATTCAGAGATTTGGCAATTCAGGCAGTCCCTGCTGCAGGGAGCTGGATGCGGGCTCCATGCCGGTAAGTAGGGGGCGGGGGAGGGGGGGGAATGGAGAAGGCGGAAGGAGGTCATGGGGGGATCCCCATCAGGCCCCATTTCCTGCCTGCTCCCCCAGCCTCCCTGAGCACCTCCCTACCCCCGCCCACTCTTCCAGCCCTGTCAATGGCTGGCCCCCCCGACCCCCGCATCGCAGCCCTTTTAAAA